TTTTTTTTTATCATTTATAAGTTCTATGTTCATTGATGAGATTGTATTATGTGTAAGAACGATTATGAAGAAAGATTGAAACTATATTATTTGATTGGATTTATGTTTAAAAAATATTTAAATAAAGTAATAATTGTTTTTAGAAAATAATTAATAATATATACTTGATATTGTGTTGCTCCTTAAATTTATTTTAATTGTTATTTATTGTTATTAATTGTTATTATATTGTGCAAATAATTATTATTTTGTAATAAAAAAATATATTATATTGCACTATTTTTTAGTAAATTTTATGTAAATAATTTTCATATGTTTAATTATTAATGAAAACACGATGAAAATATTACAAAATAATAGTGCAGAATAAGTATATTTAAATAGTAAATGAGTTTTAAAATTATTTAAAAAGTAATAAATAATTTATATTGATATAAGCTATTTTTTTAATTATTTCAAAAGTAAATTTTGAATATTTGAAATAAATTAAATGGAATAAATTAAAGAAAAGTTTAAATTCAGATCCAATTTTACTTAAAAAAGAATACTTAGAAGAATATCTGTAAAAATATTTTTTTAATAATAAAATAATGTTTTTGATGATACTAGTAAAAAGTAAAAACTATAAGTTTTATTACTAGTTTGTAACTGTTCGAAGCAAATTCAAATAAACTACTGACGTTTTTGCTACCTAAAAACAATTCCATAAAATATTTTATTGCTTATTTCTAAAAATGTTTGAAAAAGAGAAACTTACAGTACTAAATGTGTTCAAAGACAATTCGATTATTTTTCCTGCTGTTAATTTTGGTGGATGCTGTGATATGGAGATTAGTAAAATAAGATCATAAGCTTCCTTAGGTGATAATTTAAACCAATCGATTTCATAGGAAGCTGTACCAATTTGACTACACTAATAATAATTATTGACTTTGTTTAATAAAATAGAAAATATTAAAATAAACGAAATTCTTATAATTACCTGCTCGGTCAAAATTTCACCTATATAGCAGAATATAAATATATTAAATGTGAAAGAAATCAATAAGGTAAAAAAAGTTAAAAGTGTAATTGTATCGCCTACTGACCATTCCTAAAATAATAAATTTATAATCAATCTTTAACTTATATATAATTTAATTTTATTGCTTACCATTATGCAATAATATTCAAGCATACACATATCTATCGTACACTCTATAATTTCTGTAAAGCATATCTCTCGTAAAGCTTCTTCTATATTATTTGAAAATCTATAATTTTCACATATTTGCTTTTTTAAAGTTCCTTTTCGTATGTATTTTAATTTTTAAGGATTTTTATCATATGCATTTATTCAAATTAATAATATTTGATTCTTACCTTAATACTTCTACATGATCGTGCACAATAAGAGCAAAAGGATCACAATCTTCATATTTCTTTTTTTCCTTGTTCTCGACCAAATCTTGTAATCTTGCTATTTGTACCTGAATTTGTCCGCATATATGTGTAACAAAGATCGTTGCTAAACTGTATGCAACCGTTGAGACACTATACATGATCATCGCTGTGAAGCAATGTATACAATACACAATTTCATATGTAGGACTAGACTGTGTATCAAAAAATGGATCATAGCCAATATAAGGTAATGGTCTGATTGTGTAATTGTCCTTATTCCTTCCTTTCGACAAAAATTGCATTATTGTATGATATGACATTCCTCCTGTATATAAAAAGACGGCACACATGGTGATAAGTTTTCTGCTAATCGTTGCATATTTTAGCATGATCGTTCGATGATTTGAATTTTCCACCATCATCCAGTCTTTTCTCATATGTTCGATGCATCTTTCAAACGAGGATCCTTTTATGCCAAGGTAGCAATATTTAATTGTGGATGATAAACAAAATCCAGCTGGGCCGAATGCTTTCACTTTCATATGCAAATTTTTTTCTACGAAAAGGATATGATGACCGGATGGTAAAATGATGAATAATAGGCTAGAGAAGCACGTGCCCATTAGAATAATAGAAATCAATTGCTCAAATTTGCTAGTTCGATTGTAAATGAGAGGCCACACTCCAATCGGTTTCAACAACCATTGACACATTTGTAATGTGTAATGTATATCACTTTTGTAATGACTATTTTTCAACTGACCATTAATATTGTCGTATGATCGATCATGCATACTGACAGCTGAAGTGCTTACTGTCGACTGATCAGCAAACTAGAAACTTTCTATCTGATATTGAACGCAAGCGCATTTCTGCGTTTTTATGAATGTATACTATAAACTTCATAATGTGCATGCATTTCGCGAATAGTTTAATCGATATCATCTTTTTTTATCATTTGCAGGTTTCCACATTCATTGAAGAGATTCTGTATGTAAGAGAAGATCTTATCATGTAGTTGGATTCATTTTTCAATATTTTATTGTAAGTATTTCTATTCTATATATTTCTCTAATAATAATTTTATATTATGTTATATATAATGTACTATTAATATTTTTTTAAAAAATATTTAATGTATACATACTTGATATTATATTATTCTTCAAATGTTTCGTTATTGTTTTAAATATTTTATGCAATTAATTAATATCTTATTATAAAAATATAGTAATAATTTATAAAATTATAATTTATAAAATTACATTGTATTGTTTTTTAATAAGTAAATTTTATATAAATAAATTTTAATTAAATGTTTAATTATTTATAAAAGATGAAAAAAATATATCACAAAAAATGATAAAAGTTTGCGATATAAGTTTCAAAATAATAAATCTAATATAGATAATATAATAGATAAATAAGTTTATCTATATATATATATAATAATTCTATGTATGTATATAATATATTTGATATTAAAATTGCTATTGTATATTATTCCAAATTTAAACTAAAATATCGAAATACAATAGATAATTAAATAAAATCAATTTTATAATATANATAGATAATATAATAGATAAATAAGTTTATCTATATATATATATAATAATTCTATGTATGTATATAATATATTTGATATTAAAATTG